TCATTTAAAAATTACTTTGAAGGGAAAAAAACTTTGTGTGCTTAAAGGGCAAAAATATTTTATCTTGAACTTATTACATAAAAATGCTTGCAGTTGAAGGGAAGTTTTTCACTGATCAAAGAATATTAAGAAAAACGGTCATTCGAACACTCGACCAGAATAATGCAAATATCTTAAGGAAACACTATGTACTACGGTCAAGACGGAACAAACAAACCAAACAGCTAAACTACAAAAATGCAAAACTAGCACAACTGTGTTCTCGTCATTTCCCTCTAATTTTCTAAACAAACCATCCATTCTGCTTCGCTCTCAGGTTCTTTAAACGAATACATTGAAATTATTGAGCAAAACGAAGGCGTAAAATAATAGCAATAAAATCTCCAATTTCTCAATTCAGGAAGAAAACAAAATTTTCCTCTCAGGCATATGCAAAATTGGAGTTTCAGATAGGTCAGCAGCAATTGTACTTTGAAAGATATAGGTATTTTGATCGCAGAAATTACAACAGATACTATCGATTGCAGCAAGATCAAGAAGGGAAAATCAAAACCCCGAAATTATTTTGTGGATGAAATTTAAAATATAACCAATCCGGATTACCGTGTATGATTCGATGGTCAGATGAACAAAATTTGGGGCTCAGTAAGCATGCCTCGCCATGAGTCCAGATTGTTTTTAAGTAAAAAGAAGTACAGCAGAAAATAGAACAATAGAAAAAAGTAGAACTAAAATCTATATTGCATAATAGGTAATTTGTCGTTTGGAATATTGAGGTTTGTACTACTATCCGCTGTAGCTTTCATAAAGAGGTAAGCGAAAGAATTCAAATCTTCCTAGAATCTGAGTTGTTTATATGTAACATGTTAATATTATACCCTAGACAGTGAATTCATTTTATTGTAGATATTAAAAGTTCTTTTGTAATTTGATACCCGTGCAATTCTTTTACCTTCCGTTTTCAGATAACAAAAATGTTGGCTTTCTTTAGATATTGGCAAATAAAGCTAAGAAAATTTCTTTTTTTTATTTCTGTGTAGAACTTATTACATTTATCTCTGATTTCAGATCATCCATGAAGGTAAAGAAATTTTAGAAAGAAAGCAAAGGAATATTAAATGGGGCCAACAATCTGAACATAAAAGGAAAATCTTTTTAGAATTATTGTTGGAAGAATATTCTAAGAATGAAAATTTTGCATACAATGACATTATGGATGAAGCACTGACCTTCCTATTTGGTGTAAGTTAGCTTTCTAGTTTATTTATGGTGTTTTATTTAATGTGTAACTCAGTTGTTCGTAACAATCCTTATTTCTTGTGATGAAGAGCTTTTTAATCTTAACGCATGTTTACCTATAACAACATAATAAGGATTACTATACTGCTATAAAATTTTGTCATGTAACAAATTGTCTTTTAAACTAGACGAGAATTTTACCTTAGATTGAACATAAATTTGTAAAAAAAATCATGTTTTTTAAAGGCGAGTGACACTAGTCTTCTTTCCTGAAACAGAAAACATACCCTGCATTACTTTACGGGAAAGCTATTAAAATTTGAAAAAGGAAACAATGCTTATGACGTGGTCTTTTGAACAAAATAGAAAAATCAAAGGGTGAAATATCGTGAGATTAGTATGTAACATCATGAAGATTTCAGGTTCGAGAAGGCTCTAAAGTTCTCTGGAGATGTTTCTTTCAGTTTCTGTGTTGCTTTTATTTGTAATAAAGACGTTACATGAACACACTTAATTTGTTAAAGTAATACATAATTTTTAAAAATAAGTAATAGAAATTCGCGTGATAATTATTATTGCGTAGACAAGCTCATAAGTGTGGGTTAGATTAGGTTAACTGAATGCGATATAGAACACAAGAGCTATCTCCTTTACGGAAGAGATGCCTTTGGGGAGGATACGTTTGGCAGAAACTCTCTGTATTTATCTCGTATGCCTAGAAGCTATTGATAGCGGGAGGCAAGACTTAATATACTTCAGGGATCAAAACATTAACTTTGCTGGAAGCATTAATGAATTTAATGTCATTTTGTCGTCTGAATTTTGGCTCTAAATCATTGACGGGAATTTAAAAATACGATATTTCGCCTTTTTAAGTGTTTATAATAGCTGTTCAAGATGAAAAAAGATCTCATGGGCATACACTTTATCTACGTAGGGCGCAATGGATGAACAAATGCAAACCAAGCTCCATGAAGACCCAACTGTCTCCCCTAGAGGTTTGTGATAAATTACTACAAGAAACAGATGAAAACAAACCCTTGAATTGTAACAAGGTCAAGGTTAATCCTCCTTGAATATACTGATATCAAATACGAGCTGGATATTAATGACTTGGGAACGAAACACATTCCTGATACAATATTAAAAGCAAACACATTAGGTACGTTACATAAACGATACCCTGAACCTGAATGGACTAGAGTATACATTGATATCTCTAAACTGCAAGAAAACACTGGGACTGGTGTATAGAATAAACTCTTTTCCAATGTACTCATGTGGGGAACTTCGTGTCGAATTTTAATGCAGAGATCTTTGCAGTCTCAGTAGCTCTGGAAAACCTCAAGATAAATATTGATAGTTTCTCTAAGCAGTTATTCTAGTCAATTCCAAAGTAGCCATTCAGGCTATAGTTATAAATCATGACACAGATACCCAGATTATCTCAGAAATAAGACAAATTTGAACTTTCTTTATAATTACGACAAAACAATCGTTTTCCAATGGATCCATTCACATGTGGGTATCGACGGTAACGAAAAGACAGACTCGCTGGCCAAAACAGAAGCACTTGAGCCACAGGACGAGAAACCGCTTCCTACAGAGTCACTAAAAAGGATATTTTTGAAACATCAATAGGTACTCTTAAATCTGACAAGGCAGCAAAATCAACACAAAAATCCTGGGCTAATATTCAAAACACTTGGAAAAAGTTTTGTCGAAACCCCCGTTAAGATGCTGTGGCAGATTTCAGACTGCAAACAAGCCATGATTATATAGCATATCATCTTAATAAAAAAGGCATAATTCCATCTAGTATTTGACAGGTATGTAATTCGGGCATGATAAATGCAGAGCATCTTCGTATAACCAAAACCAGATAAAGAGTCTCAGAAACGTGGGGAGATAAACAAACTATACTGGAATGGCAATACTTTCATGAAACTCCTTGTAGAGACCGAATCTCTTATGTTCCTTTCCTTGTTGTTTAAATTTTTTAGTTTTTGCTTTTGCTCCCATACTTATTTTGTTCTGGTTCTTACTTTACTTTTTTTTATTTTTTATTATATGTCATTGTTCTTGTGTGACACATAAGCTGTTTTATATGTTTGAATTGATCCTTTTCAATAAAACCATATGTAGCAATAACATTTTATCTACGGATATGTGGTTAAAATGGGCAGCTACCCGAAGAAATTACCGAGACTTATTCCTGAGTGCCTTCTTTTAACAGTTGCTCCCTTTTCATCCGCAGCCCCATGGGAAAACGTCATACTGACAAGTTTCGCGTTCGCAAAGTAATGAATACCGAACGAATTTCACAAGGCAAATGAAGATTTACGCCAGAACAGTTTTATTTACTGCTCAAAAGCCACACCTAATCACGTCAACGAGCCAGTTCCACACCCTCATTTTATTGCAAAATCTGCTTCTTTCGTTTTCTGTACCTGCCTTCATATTTTTCACAGATAGTTTTCAGTCACCTTGTGTATTAACATTACAACCAACCGCATTAGCTTTAGAAAACGCAAATGTCACATAATCTTTGCATAGTATCTCTTAATGAAATAAAACTCCAAAATGCTTTTCAGTAGCTGAGACCGGCAATAAATCATTGTGCATATGAACTTCCTTGTAAACAAAAGCAGTTTTCTTGTAGCTGTGAAAAAGAAGAACACTGTAATATTTTATGCTGGATTTCATTCTCTAAAGTTGGCGCTAATGCTAAAACTATTCTTAAAAAATACCTAATTTTGATCTAGTCAGTTGCAATATGATCTCAAATCATTTGTCAGTAGCACAGTATCGTCGCCTTTTTTGAAAATTCTGATTCCTAGGAGCCCAGGCATGTCGTATACCAAAATAGTCTAAAGCGTTCGTCCGAGGATCAAGCATTGCAAGATTCCTGCTTTGACATATTCTCCTATTAAAATCATTCTTCTCTTTTGACACGAAATTTCCTACTGTTTAAAATAAAATATGAGTTAATGATATTGATAAGTTCAAGCTGAAAGGCTGAAGTTATACAGTAGTGTTAATGCACCGATTCTAGTGCACGATATGTTTTGACCATACTAAGTTTGCGCGCTAGTATATTTATAAGCCACAAATTTATACCATTATAATTTATCTTAATTAGCCGTAATTTATAACCATAGTAAGTTTTCGCTTGTTGTCCATAAACACGATCCATAACTATTTCATCTGAAATAAACATAGTTGCTACCTTTCATGTTTATTATCCATAAACAGGATCCATAAATACTTCATAAGAATTAGCCATTGTTTCTATCCGTTCTTCAGTAGTGATTATCATCAATAATCTTTGTCCATAAATAAATTATAGGAACTACCTATAGATTCAAGCTATATTTCATTAGTGATTATTATCCATAATCTTTGCCTATTCAAAAAGCAGCTTTTCAGAAAAAGGACCCACTTTTTTCGTTTCGATTTCCGTTTCATAGCTCCCAACTTTTTCATTTCGATTTCTTTTTCAGAGGTCCTAGCTTTTTTTTTCATTTTGATTAAAAATTAGAGTTGAAACCATAAATAATTATCAGACTTATGCATAATCAATAACCGTAAAAATACCTATATTGAATGAAATTTTAGCAATTTTGAAGTACTTAATGAAACAAAAATTTAATAAAATAAACAAAATTATAAAGAATGGAATTCATTAAAAACGTAGATTTACAGAAGCTCAATATGTCGGAGCTTCGAAAGTATTGTAGAAATGAAGGTATTAAAGGATACTCACATCTTAAGAGGAAGGAACTTCTCGAACACATTGAGCCCATGAGAGGAAAGGTTGAGTGTGAAAAATATGGTAAGAGTGAGTTTCGATATCGTCAATCAGCCCAACTTCGGAAGCATAAGCATCCATTTAGATTTCAGATGGATATATTTACGGCTCCCAAGAAAGCCAAAGAACAAAAATAAAGTGTAATGAATGCGGAGATTATTTTGTTCTATCTGAATATTATTTCCATCCTGAAACAATAAGTTTTCCACATACGATATGCAAGATCTTACAGCCTTTAGTAAAAATTTGGTGCTCAAGGGGTACTCAAGGTTAGGAAAATCACAACTGATTAATTTAATAAAAGATAACATAGTGTCCCATGCTCTCCCTAAATTTAGCCGGTAGCTTTTCCCCCCCATCCTCACAAAAATGAAATCAGTACAGTCTACTAATTGTATTCTCAGCTGTAATTACTTACCAAATCCATAACGAATATAAAATTAAACTCCCTCAGTAATTTCTAGTAGATATTGAACCATATTAAAAAGGGCAGATATTGAATCATACTAAAAAGGGTCTATAAAAAATTTATTAAGATGCAAATCTTTTAAAATAAATTTCAAGCTCCTTTGTGATTTTCACAAAGGTGATGAGGTGTAGGAGTTTAATTTAAAAACTCAAAACGAGGTTATCACCCAGTGGACAGACCTTAATATTATCTGGAGGTAGTAGATAAACTAATTATCGATATCGATAAGTTCCACGCCAGGAGTTCGTGATAGACTTTAATAAGAATTAAAAGCCTGGAAATACTATTTAATGAATGTAATTCCCATGAGATGTGCCTTCTACGTCCACCTCCCCAAATGGATAAAAGAGAAAAATCGCTGATAAATGTGTAGGGATATATGTATTTTTTAAATAACCAATTTTATTTAATTTTACCTTCTTTCCTTTAAGTCTTCATTCCCCTAATTGTCAATGTCAGAATATTTAAATTTGATAGCGCGCGTGAAGAAATGCAAATTCTACCTTGAGGAGAAAAATTTAAATACCGAGTTTTAGAAAGAAAGTTAGTTAGGCTATTGCCGTCACCTCTGTAGCGTGAGCTTCTATTTTCGAAGTTATTGCTGGTTTACGTGGCGTAACAGCATTTACCTTGCTGCCACTAGTTTCGACGCGGTTTTAAGTAACAGAAGTTTTCTAAACCCTGTAGTTTAATTTCCACTAGTTATGAATATTTTCCACATTT